GAACGAGAGAATGAAAGGTCCCTTGGTATTATTGCACTATGCAATGGCTGACAGAATTTAATTCAAGTAAGACCAACGCCGTTAAAAAAAATTGCAAACTTTTTCTGCCTCTAAAGCGATGCCAGAGAATGAAAACATTCATGGGAATTGGGAACTAAATAACTACTAATGCCTTATAAATTGGGCATCATTTTAGATGATGATAAATTGGGATCTTTACTTGTCAATGGTAGTAAAAAGGTGAATTATTGCTTAATTGTGGTCGGTCCAAGTCAAAGTCAACAATTTGCTATCGGATCATGGTGACTAGGCCCAAATAATAATGGGTTCAAATTGGCATTCAAAGAGCATCGGCCTCGGAAAGTCTTGACAACCCTCCTTATAAGGCCATGAATGCACAGACAAATTTGAAAATCTGATTTTCCGTTTACCTACTTAGATTTGACAACTAATCCCGTCATCAACAATAACTATAACGGAAACCACTTTTTGAAGCAAACAAAGGAAACCAGGAAATGTACTTAAGGAGATGATGATGACAATTAAACTCAAGGTTTGAAACTAGAACCAGCCCTTGGTCCCTAGCAATCCAAATGGCAAGAATTTCTAGCATGGTCTTCTTCTTCAAAAGATATATATAGACATGTATAAAAATAAATTTTATCACAAGTTTATACTGCAGTAAAAACTTATAGTAGGTAGATTCAAATTTATCTCTTGTAACACTATAATAAGTCACGTTATATTCAACAAATCAATAAAATTCTTACAGATACACTGAGGTATATACCGCCAATTAAATTATTAAAACTGATATTATTATCAATTACTTATTTTCTTTCTCACATGCTTCTCGTTTCCTCTCAATTTTTTTTATTTTATTTTAAGAATAATGAAATACAGAGTTTAAACTCTCTCCTTTTTTATTTTTTTGAGCTTTTCTTTTCTTCTTTCCAAATATCTTGTCTTGTACACAAAATTTTAAAACTCTTGTTGATTTTTTTTAACAACAAATAATTCTTTTCCAATTAAAAAATAGCTAGCATCTCAACTCCCAAACATATTCACGCTGTCGGTTTTTCCTTGAGAAGCTATAGCAGCGTGGTTACTTAATTGTCAGAAAATAAGGCATATGGCTCAACTAATTAAACAATCTCTCTCTCTCTCTCTTATTAGGAAAAAGGGCTACAAATTTTTTCTCTCTTTCTTTTGTTTTTTGTTCAAAGTTACCTTTGCTCTTTCATGTCTTTGCGTTTTGTAATAAACCTTCAATATTTGCAATTTTCAAATTAGCAGCATAAGGTAATATGATTTAAACATCATATATTTATTTATTAAGTAGACTAATTGAGCTGTGATCTCTTTAAGATAACTGACGAAAGCAAAGATAATGCGTAGAAAATTATGCTCTCATCGATTGAAATTTGAAGGGGTGGGGTGGGGTGGGGTTTAATTTTCTATGGACCACAATCAATTTGAGATAATTAAGTAATTGCATCCCTTTGTTGAATTGACAATCGTAACATATGAATTGTGCATTCATCTCAAATTCAAATTTCTTTTCTGATCGTCAATTAAAAAAAAAAATTGTTAGTTTAATTTTTTATTCAGTTTCAATGTAGATGTAACATTAATTTTTTTTTCAAATATATATATATAGTTATAAAATATATAATATTTTACGTCGGATATGTAATCAACTTACATGTCGTTAAAATATTAACAAGAATTTCATAAAATTTTAACATGTTTGACTCGAAAAATAATAAGTTTTGATTGTGAAAAACAAATGCCGCCATTAGGAATTGGTGCTTTACTTCCAATGCCAACAAAAAGCTAAAGATAGCGCTTACTATTAATCGGTCCAAGTCAAAGTCTCGCACATTTCTTTCGATCTCCACGACTTGGCCCAAACGATAATGCGTTCAAATTTGGATTAAAAAGGGTTCAGCCTCCCCAAGTCATGAGATGACTCGCAAAAACCTTTTTTGTTTTTGGAACCAAAATCACAGACAAATTTGAAAATCTGGTTTTCCATTTACCTACTTAGGCATTAATTATTGAAAACTAGTAGGTTCCTTTTCCTACAATAGTTAGGAGGTAGACCATCTTCTGAAGCGAAAAAGGAAACCAGGAAATGTCTTCAAGCCTCAAGGCCATGATAATGACATTGGAACCCATGTTTAGAAAGAATCACTGATCCCCAGGTCCCTAGCAATCAAAATGGTGAGAATATATAGCATGATGTTGATGTTCTGCGAAGGATTGCTTCAATTTTCAATGCCAATTGCCATGACTCGTGAGGTCGTAATACATGATGTACCAATTTAGAAACTAATTTCACCTATTAAAATTTAGGCATCAATCTAAAGAATTGATTTGATAAATAAAGTACATATAAAGTGAATCTGTCTTAATTTTTGTCCAAATGACCTGCCTTTGATCATATTAAAAAGATGACTTCCTCTTAGCTTCTGAATATCATTTTGAGAATCATATGATTACTTCGTAAAAATCATAAAAATGAGAGGATGATAAATATCAGTTTTTTTGTTAATTAAATATCTCAATTTTATATTAAAAGTTAGATTACTTTCGTTCCAAACAATAACGGTAAAATTTAATTTTTTTTAATAAATATGATTTTAAAATTTAAATTCTTTATATTAATAAAACAAATTAAAAATTCGTTTGGAACCTGCTTGTTTACTGGGCTAGCAACTGATTGGTTGAAAATACCACTTACTATAAAATGGCATAAAATGAGTTTGCCCAAACTTTATGAAGTGGGAAGAGCCTACCAATTAATAAACGTTTTCTAGTCTAACCTCATGACACAACACAGAAGCAATGTACATTGAATGTTTGAAAACGAGGCAATGGCGGTGATGGATCCACATTCTAGAATCCACTGCAAGTATGAATGTGTCATAAAATGATTGGTTGGAATCACAGGGAAGAAACTGTGATGAAGAAAAGGAAAAAGAAAAGGTGTAAATGGCACCTGAAGAAAGCTAAATTATACTTCTTCGAAGAGAAAATGCAGCTAAGTTAGATTCTCTCACCAAACCCTTTTTAGTTTCTACCAAAGATTTTTTTCCTCTAGTTAAAAATTTCCACGGGCAAACAAATTACTCTTTTTCTCGTTATAGCTTCCTTTTTTCTTTTTTTCGTTTGCTTTTATTATTAATCATTTCTACGAATTTCGGGAAAACGTCAATTCCTTTTTAAAGGAATATGTATTATCATATTTACCTAATTAGTCATTGGCATTATCTTAAAAACTTTTTTTAACAACTATTTATTAATTAATTTTCGATTCAATTAGAAGTTTTAAGTCACATGTAAATTGAGAGAGTGATGCTAAACCATAGCTCCAAATAACCGTTATTACAAATATAACAAGAATTATTTAATGTTGTTAATTTTTTATAATATATTAAAATTTTATAATTATGGTTAATTAATAAAACTATTACAAATATATAAATTAAAATAAATTTATTAATAATTACTAATATATTAATGTATTCATAATATTAATTATCTACGTTGTTATTTTATTATTATAATAAATCGTGATTCGTAATTATTATTATGATTGATTTTACAATTTCGTTTGTAATTTAAAACTGCATGCTAAATCTATTGAGATTGCATGGAGGCTGGAGACATTGAGACCTTGAGGTTTAGAAAAATATGTGTTATACTGGATCTTTAAAGACGTGTATGGGTTCTACGATCTGCTTCTCCTGCCCTTGTGATTCGAACGTTCTATAAAAAGATTGCCGAATTCAACATCATATTTTTTGTTATTTTTTTACAATTAAAACAGATTCATGCTTTTACATTATAGAAAAAGTTAATGATATGTTAGTTTTGCATAAATTAAGGTTTTTCATGAATCATTTTTTGGAAAAAAAAATTATTCATGAAATGATAATAAAATCCGATAAATCCAATGTTGGGGCTTTTAAAATAGTTATTTTAGAAAAAAAAATAGTATCGTACCAAAAAAAAAAAAAAGCATTCTCTTTGTTTTGATTAATCCAGCAATAACATGCTTTCCTTCAAAACTTGAAACTTTGATCAAACTTGAGTTTTATGCTGAATTTAAGCAGGAAAACATTATCATTTGATAACGCGTACGTGTTTTAATAATTAATTATGTTGAAAATTTTGTTTTTATTGATGATATTCATGCAGTGAAATCCATTCACTCTTCTCCGAAATAGGATTCCTTTCTTGACTTTAGAATAAGACGATGGATTTAATACAGAATTCCTAGCTAGCCATCACAGCCGGTAGCACTACCTCGAGTTAACTCAGTCACATACTAGCCCTATGGAAAAATTGGCTTTCCATTTTGTACTATTCAGGAGGAGGAGATCCCAGGAAAGTGGATCTCGTTGACTAATGTAATGGCTTCGGCGCGCGAGTTCACTCGAAACAAGCGGTGATCTTTCTTGATTTATTTTACTACCTCTACTCAGTTCATGAGTCTACCATCAGTGATGGTTGAGAAAGCTGAGTCTCAATCTCTTTCTTCTTTACTCGAGTAGTTTGTAATCTTAGGCGGAGTCCAATTGGCCTAGCCATTGCTTAGCTGGAGAAGGTTCCTTTGATGATAATAGTTGAACTATAATTCATTAGACGTTCTGTATTTGAGTTAATTCTCAACCACCAAACTGGCCCACTCTAATCTTTAGAGAGAATTTTATGGTAAAATATTAAAATAGTTTTTTTTTAAGAAAAAAGCAAGGAATGTAAGAAGAGCATACTAAGAAAAATTTAGTCCCAAAATCGATAGGGCCTAGCTTGCAGCTTCCATTTTCCTCATCCTCTGTCTACCTGAAATGAAATTCCACTAAAACCTTAACGCGTAATCATTAACCAAGACTCTCTCTCTCTCTCTCTCTCTCTCTCTCTCTACCAAACAAACGCGGAAACTATATAATCTTTCTCTCTCTTTCTGTCTGCTCCTCGTACGTTCCTGCAAAATGATTTCAGCACTGAACAGACGCACATTTCTGGTACCATGCAATATTAATTATAAGTAGTGAGCAAAGAATCCCACGTAGCTCCACGCTATGTTCACATTCACGAAACTTTTCAATTTAGACCAGCCTTAGTAAAACATTAGATATAGTAATAAAAATTATCCTAACTCCACGTGTTTAGTCCACGTTCTTCTTTTTGACATTGAAATCAACCTTAATTTATTTCAGCTTTGCTTTAAAAAAAAAAAAATTAGGAAAGCGTAGTAATTTGAGGGCTTTGGGAGGCTATAAAAGCTGGGCTTTGTTTCATGGTTTACGAAACAAGAAAGGGCTGTGTTCTGTTTGTGTAGTGGGGTTCTGTTTCTTGTGTTGTTTTCGGCTTTTCAGCTTCTTGTTATTTGCAGAGATCAGGGGTCCTTGGTAGAGGAGGAGAAAGAACGATTTGGGCTTTATTAGAGAGAAGAACAATGATGAACGGGGTGGAGAAAACGAATGGTGAAGATATTGCCACGGAGGAACAGCTTATCACTCCATGGACTGCTTCTGTTGCTAGGTGAGATAAATAATGTTTTCAGTTTTTGATTGTTTGTTTTATTCTTGTCTTGTTCTTTATGGCCGGCCCATGTTGTTTTTAGATGCTACATTATAAATTTTTCATCTGTAGTTTCGATTTTTATGCTCCTAAAAGTGTTTGTAATTTTGCTCAAGTTATGAATTCCTGGTTATTTTTTACTAGATCTTGATTTTTTTTTTATTGGTTTTAATAATCGAAGAAGTGGTAGCCGAGGTTTATTTATTGGGGTCTATTTTACTAAAATCATACGTCCAGTAAGTTTGGTTCTGTGTTCTTCTTTGAATGTATTACTTGTGGTCCAAAACATGAAAACTATCCTTTTCGGAAGGTCTTGAGATAGTTTGAATTAAGAAACCCTTTTGTTCTTGGCTTTGCTGATTAGTTCATACTTTTAAAATTTGCAGAATTTTTTATTTTGTTTGTCACTCAGAGTATTGTTTTTTTTTGTTATGTTATAGTGGATATACCTTGTTGAGGAATCCACGCCACAACAAAGGGCTTGCCTTCTCTGAGAATGAAAGGGATGCACATTACTTGCGTGGCCTTTTGCCTCCAGCACTCCTGACTCAGGAGCTCCAGGTTATCTTGAATGACATTCCTCGTAGTTTTAATTCATATGTTTAAATCTCTGTCTCCCAAGCTTAATTAGTCCACTCAACAATGATTATTAGGAGAAAAAGTTGATGCAAATCCTACGCCAGTATGAAGTTCCTCTGCAACGATACATGGCCATGATGGATCTTCAGGAGAGGAATGAAAGGTTGTTTTACAAGCTTCTGATTGATAATGTGGAGGAACTATTGCCAGTTGTGTACACTCCCACTGTTGGTGAGGCTTGTCAGAAATACGGGAGCATTTTCAGACGCCCTCAGGGTCTCTACATCAGTTTGAAAGAGAAGTAGGACCATCTGATTGCTTTTTAGTTTCATGTCTAATAGTCCAAGCTTCATAGTGTTCAAGTATTTACTGAAATTGAAATATTTAGGGGCAAGATTCTTGAAGTATTGAAGAATTGGCCGGAGAGAAATATCCAAGTTATTGTTGTTACTGATGGTGAGCGTATCTTGGGGCTTGGGGATCTTGGTTGCCAGGTATTGATGCTCACAAATTCACTTATAAAACATAAGTTGTTAATTGAATGTGCTGGGCACTCCTTATCTCTCAATGGATGAATCATTATTGTAATTGTTTTTCATTTGTTAGGGAATGGGGATTCCTGTTGGAAAACTCTCTCTGTATACAGCACTTGGAGGATTACGTCCCTCTGTGGTAAGCTTTGACATAATCAGAACAATTAGTCTCATAGATTTTGATATTCTTTCTGTTATTTTATTTTATTTTTTTCTTTTGGATGGATGGGTTTGAATTTCACTGATTGCACAGAAAAACAGATAATTTTCTATCAAATGTAGCACAATTTTGTTTACAAATTGTGGTTTCTCTGTTATTTAGACATACCTGAATTACTGTCTCACTGAAGCTATGAATGTATCTCTCTCTATTTTAGTTACTAAGACCTTCCTCCTGTATTCAATTTCTCCAGTGCTTGCCTGTAACAATTGATGTTGGCACAAACAATGAGAAGTTATTGAATGATGAGTTCTACATTGGGCTTAGACATAGGAGGGCAACTGGACAGGTATAGTAACTTTACTTTCTTCCCTTTCCAATTGACTACTACTTTTTTTTTTTTCCTAGCTTTCAAATCGAGCTGAGTCTGAAGATTTGTGTTTTGCTATCTACTGTGGTTTAGGAATATGCAGAACTTGTGGATGAGTTCATGACTGCAGTTAAGAAGAACTATGGGGAAAAAGTCCTCATACAGGTAAACCATCAACTGTAATGTAAAACCATTAAACAGTTCCTTAATGTCAGAGTATTCAACACTTAACTCTGTTCCCTGAAAATATGAATTTCCCTTTTCAGTTTGAAGATTTTGCAAATCACAATGCATTTGATCTACTGGAAAAATACAGCCCAACTCATCTTGTCTTCAATGATGACATACAGGTAACATGTTAAAGAAATTTGCTTGTTTTAGCAATCTGTTTCTCCTCAGTGGAGTCTCTCTAACTGTAAATGCTTTCATTTATTGCAGGGTACTGCATCTGTGGTGTTAGCTGGGCTTCTTGCAGCTCTGAAATTGGTTGGTGGAACCTTGGCGGACCATAAATTCTTATTCCTGGGTGCTGGAGAGGTTAGGCTCAGAAACCATGCGTTCAAAGCTTTCTTTTTGTTTGTACTTATCAGTCTCTTGCATAATGGTTGTGCCTGTTTATACAGGCATTTCTTTGTCCATATAGGCATTACTTTTTGTTCATTTGATTCTTACTCTGTTTTCTTTTGGGTGTTGCAGGCTGGAACTGGTATAGCTGAGCTTATCGCTCTTGAGATATCAAAACAGGTACCAATCCGATGTTATCTGGTTAATATTTTTGTTATCTACTTCCATTTGCTAACCTTTATGGTTAAACCCGTGCTATTTTCTTCAGACTAATGCTCCACTTGAAGAGACCCGGAAAAGGATTTGGCTTGTGGACTCAAAGGTAGCAAAAATGTGGTCAAAACTTTTGTTGCACATTTCGCCTTGGATCCTTTGACTTATACTAACACTTGGTCTTGTTATGTTCCAGGGACTGGTTGTTAGCTCCCGTAAGGAGTCACTTCAACAGTTCAAGAAACCTTGGGCTCATGACCACGAGCCTATCAAAGGGCTCCTAGATGCTGTTAAGGTGTGACAGTTTTCTGTTGTGAATTCATATTAAGTGTGCCCTTCAAATCATTTTCCTGAAAGCTTACCATACTTTCTAATCTATTAGGCAATCAAGCCAACAGTTTTGATAGGATCATCTGGAGTTGGGAAAACATTTACAAAGGAGGTAGTTGAGGCCATGGCTTCAATTAACGAGGTTCCTCTCTCTCTCTCTCTCTCTCTCTCTCTCTCTCTTCACATGCACACACTCACACACGTTCATCAATCTTGTTAAGTTATCTGACCCTAGTCTAAACTGGTATGCAGAAACCGCTAATTCTTGCTCTCTCCAATCCAACCTCACAATCTGAATGTACGGCCGAAGAAGCTTATACATGGAGCGAGGTAGAATACCATTTCTGCCTTTTGCCAAATATTGTTTCATCAGAGTTTGCTCATGTCATGCATCTGTGATTCAGACAAACAGAGGAAATAGCAAAACTCTTTTAATTTTATGACCACCTTGATTGCTTATATGTTTTCCAACTTGCAGGGTCGTGCAATCTTTGCCAGCGGAAGCCCATTTGATCCTGTTGAATATAACAGCAACGTTTTTGTGCCTGGCCAGGTTTTAACCTTCACCTATTCTTACCGGAAATCAGTCTTTTTACTAGAAATTTACTATATTTGGTAGCTTACATATTCAATATATCCAGGCAAACAACGCTTATATATTCCCTGGATTTGGGTTGGGTTTGATCATCTCTGGTGCAATTCGTGTGCATAATGACTTGCTTTTGGCGGCTTGTAAGTATCATGGACTATTGAGTTACATCTTACATGCACAAATTCAACTACAGAAAACAAGGCTAGGTGCATCGTGGTTTAACACTTCTAATTCCATTTGCAACAGCTGAATCTCTGGCTGCGCAAGTACAACAAGAAAATTTTGACAAGGGGCTGATTTACCCACCATTTTCCAACATTCGAAAGATATCAGCCAACATCGCTGCTAAGGTTGCTGCTAAAGCATATGAACTCGGTAAGCTTCTGATCTTTCTGGTTGTCAACCTCACTCGTACTTGCATTTGTCCTGGGTTACTAATTAGGCTTACGTAACTTAATTGCTTTATAGGTCTGGCATCTCGTCTCCCTCGTCCTAAAGACCTTGTCGCGTATGCAGAGAGCTGCATGTACAGCCCAGTCTACCGAAACTATCGTTAAACCGAGAGAGGAATTGTGCATTTTGCAACCAGCAATTTTCTCGGAGCCATTTTCTACTTTCTATCTGTTTTTCATGTTTCTATTATATAAAATCTCAAGCAGAGAGAGTTCCTTACTCCACTTGTAATTCTGTAGTTTTTTTTTTTCTTTTTTTAGATATTCCTAATTGTTTACGCTAGTTGAGCTATTTATTTCAACTGTGCTGAATAAAAACAATTCTGTTATTCTTTAAATTTTAATATTATTAGTTTTCAATCTTTTTTTTAAAGCATTTTAAGAGTTTTGAAATTGAAGATGAAAATAACATGCCAATTATAGAAGTTTATTTTATTTTATATAGCGTATTATGTAGTGTAAAAATAGGGATATCATATTTAAAAAAAAAAAAAACATTAGAGGTGGAGTGTGTGTGTATATATATATATATATATATGTATATATATATATGTATATTGTGTGTGTGAGTGTTAAAAAATGGCAAATAATAATAATAATAATAAAAACCTTCTAATTCCATTTTTAATTTGAAAGGATGAAATTATCCTTGAATAATGAATCCACTTTATTGTCAGGTAATACAAAAAACCTAATTTTCTTATTTTTAACAAAGCAGCTGCCTCATCTTCTCCTCTTCTTCCTAGCAGTGGTGTTTTCTTGAAGCATGGTTTCTTCTTCCTCATCTATTCTTTTTTGTTCTCGCCTTTCATTAGAAAAATAATAATAAAACATTTTTTTCAAATAATAATTAAATTTATTTATAAAAAATAGTTAATAGCACTTCTAACAAATTAGTATCACATAAAAAATAATAAAATATATTATAATTTCTATATACACGTTACAAAATATTTATTTTCAAATAATTAATAACTAAATTATTTTTTTCAAAATAAAAAGACTCTACTTTTAATTCATTTAATCAAACCATCAAAGCCTACAAATAGAAAAATAAAAGGACTTAGCTTTTAATTTATTCAATCAAACTAACAAAACCTAAAAAGGCTCTACCACTCTGGTCTCTATTAGAATTTGTTTCAACCTGAAAGGGATTTTTTTTTTAATATAATTTGTATAACACTGTTATATAACAATATTAAATAATGATGTTGTTTGCTGTTATTCGTATGAAACGATATCAAACTGTTATTCATATGAAACAATATCAGAACACACATAACACCAAATAACTAAAATAAGATACCTCGTTACTATTATACAATAGCCGTTGCATCACGTAACAACCTTTTTTAAAACTATGGTCCAAACAGATCCTTGTGAGTGTAAATTCCAATCCACCAACGACATTCTAATTGTCCTGGATTTTCCAATAACAAGTCCTAAGCATTTGATCTGAGGAGTATAAAGCCTGCGACATCTACAAAAGCTAAAATGCCATCTGGATTGAAGAACAAAGCCAATTATCATTTGGCACATGCTTCATTCTTCGCGATCAGATGCTTTCATGGCTAGCCAGACTATAAGGCTACTGTTTTATCACAGGGAAGAATGGTGAAATACAGTTTTGAAGAAAGGAACTATTCCTATATGTACAGAGAAAGCTCATTACTTATGAACAAAAATACAAAAGGCAGCAATTGAAAATCTGGTCCTAGCGTTTATCACCAGCAACCTGGGAACTCCGTATCCCCCAAAACGATTGAGGCTTCAAATTCTTCTTCGTGGCGGTAAAAAGCCACCCCATTTGGGTTTCACAGGATGCACATTCTACAATTGTCCAAGCATACCTGCAATATTTGGCATATCAACCAATCAGTCCTCAGATGATCATGATCAGTTTCTTGGATTAACACCAGCAATGCCATTTATAATTTACATCATAATTAGCAGAAACAGCAGCTTGAACACAAGAGATTGTGGAAAGCATGTAACAGTGCACCATATACAGCAAGTTAACTCAAGAGTTATGTTTGCTCACCCAATCCCAATGTGCTAGTATTCTCATCACTAATGGTCAACTCCCAAAAACAATATAAACTATTGAAACTAGAAGAAAAAGAAGTTATTAACATGCTGTTATAAAAAGGAGCTTTCAAATAAAGTCATGAAATGTTTCTCAACTCCAACAAAAACTAACAGCCTGCAACTTTTTTTTTATTTTTTATTTTTTGCGGGCCCTGTACAAGCACCTATCTAGTGCCCACTACTTCAAACACTACTCTCTACTCCTAGTGCTATGTAAAAGGAAGCAAACAAAGGACCATAAAATAATCAAGCACATGAACTAAGGTGTCAGATGCATCAGCCTAGAGATAAGGAACTGGTTTGGCTGACTGCTAGCCAATTTATTATACATAATACATGCAGGTATGTAAATATCATCATTTTACTTTAAAAAAAACAATGATCTCCTATCCAAATAACAGAAAACTGGAGGATTCCAAGGACATAATTGTTATTCATAGGTTTAGGTCATCAGACCAACGAGAGAAAATTGTGCCATAGATTATTTAAGAAAATTAAAAGGTCATACATAGGATCTGAGTCCATACCCAGGAAACCAGCTGTATTCCGCCGTGGCTCGCCCTATGAGTGCTAACCCATTTGCTTTATGGAATGTCATTATCTCATGCACATAACCATGCGGATTCACATAAGCACCAAGAGGACCTTCACTAGACATCACCAACATATCACTCCGCCGTGCGATAACAGTCTGCATGGACAAAAGGAAAGAAGATTAATATCTGGGCAAGAACAGAACAACATGCTTAGCTTATCATAGCAGAACAGAGTTGGGTTGTCTTAGGTTCATAGCTAACCAATAATTTTTGGGGAAAAAAAAATCATGCTGGAGTCACTGTCCATAAGCAGCAGCCAAGAGAAGTATGCGCACATATGCATATGTATGCCCACAGTGAGAGAAACTTTGAAGATTCAATACCATATATTACCTTACACATTTTACATTGAACAAGGTCAAAGCTTTCAAGTAAGTCAATTTCCTGGCGCAGTCTATATGAAATGCCATCAATCTCCAGAAGCTCCTGCCTGATCTCCTCAGACACGGGAATTTTACTGGCAATGTAAAATGATAAAAGATCAGGCTTTCTCACAAGACCATCCATGCTTGGTGCCCCAACTATCTGTTTCCACATATCTGCAAAACGTTTAAAGCATGGCTATTAATGATATTTTGATATGGAAACAAATCACCAAGGAAGTGCACAAATTTGTAAATTCAGCATTCTAAAAAAGGGAGAGATGGAAAGAACATCATTCTTTCTTTCCTTTCTTCAGTCTTCAGTGGCACATATAACTACAATACTAAAATTAAGGATGTGGATTCAAAACAAAAATTTATTCTTTCTCACCAAATAAACTCTCCAGATCTAAATCTTTTTTTGTGCATTCTCTTTAAAAGATCTTAATCACATCTCCATTCAAAACGCATTTAACATAATTCAAAGAATTTCTTCATGAAGGAATTTACATTCATTAGTTAGACCAAAGGTCAGATAAATGTACAATTTGAGAACACAATTAGTTATGAATTGACAACTTCCACTAACATAATGGAACCACAAATTAAACTTTCTATGTGCGTGTAAGCTTGTTCAGAACTTAGAATGCAAGCTCAAAGACAAATTACCTGCTGCTCTTTCAGCGAGACAATAGGAGTCATACATACAGTATACCCAGTAGGGCCAGAAAGCTCTTGGAACCCTGCGAAACTGGTTTAAGTTGGTATTTTTCCAACATCGCTTCGATGCTTCTCCTTTCTTCGCTAAACCAGAACTATTCCCGATTTCTAAGGTAGTATCATCAACATTTTTCCCAATGTCCGAATACAATGACCCTTCCGACTCACTTAGGTGAGATCTTGTAGATCTCATTTCTGACGGACTCACAAACTTGTCATCATCACTACTCGATGATTCATCCATCGCATCAGAGCCATAACAAGAATCCAACGCAGATTGATGAATTCTCCTTTCTGCTAGCGAGAGCGCACTCTCAAAGCTTTCCCCAGACCTTGCCTCTGAATCATTGTCGCTATGCCCATATCCAACTGATGAAGAATTTGAAACCAGCACACATGAGAGTCTATGACCGCGCAGATTACTTAATGGTGCCAATCTTCCAAAAGCCTCCTTGGGTGTCCTTAATGACATATCTTCCTGGATGATTTGAACCTCTCCACAGGGCTAAACAGATGAAATTCCAAATCAAATCAGCATTCAATTATAGAGGCACTTAAAGAAGGGGAATAATGCTGTAAAATAAATTTGTTCTCACCACTCCTTCAACATCAATCCAACGACGTTTTAGACAAAAACGCTGCTGGCCACGAGTAACTACATTCAGTGACCCATCCTCTAAACGCCGGTATTGACGAATCTGTATGGTTATACGTATCAAGTTAGACATGCCAATCCATACAACTGATATAAAAAAGAAGAACGGCCATTTACCAGTTATAATAATTAACAGCAGATCAAACATGTGTGAGTATCTCCCTTCTCACATCAAACCCTCAACCACAGTTCACAGTGTTACTTGTAAAATGTATAATGAGGTACAATTACAAACAAACTGGTGCCTCCAATTATAGAATTGCTATGAAAATCATAAACCCGGCAACACTACAGAATAGGCACAACACATACAAGCACACACACATAAACTTTACATCCTCCTCCATGGTTAGAAAGAAAAAGAAAACACAACCAATATCATACGGTAATCATACCTCTGCAGTTGTCCCAACAGTTGCAAACCTTAATCGTCTGTTATCAGAATCCCTGTATGCACGAACCTGAGCAGAGTTTTGAATGTTTTTAGAAAAGATTTGGAGAAAGACATCCCATAAACAGAAAAGGCAAAAGAAAAGCTTCCAGATAATGTTCACTTACCACACCTACAGTAAAAGGAGCATCAACTTGAACCAATGCCCTCTCAACAGCAGAAATGAAATTGGGTTGAATAACTCTCAAAGGAAGTGTAGCCTCTGGGAAAAGAACAACTCCTGATGAAAATTAAAGTAGCATGGCTTGTTAAACACAGAGAAAACATAATTGTTCCTAGCTATTTTATAATGTCATCAGGCCTCAAAACTTGCAAGTCTATAGGCTACTTAGTTGAATGACTTTGAGGCTTATTTTTGTGTCTCTTTGGAAAATTTTAAATTTAGTATTAAACACACTAATTAATTGTTCTAGCATATAGCATGATGAATATGCTTAATCAGACCTTACTCAGAACAAAATTGCTAAGGAACTTTCACATAACTGATCACCAATTTTTCCTTGAAACACATATTCACAAACAGCAAGCAACGCAGAAATAGGATGTAACAAGTACCTTCAAGATAGAACAAAGGAAGGTTCAAAATGGCACCTCCATCCAAGAAAGCCAGTCTATGGTGAGTATCTTCAACCTCTGCCACACACAAGTAATATGGTAATTCCCAAATTAGGATAAAATATATCCAAACAAAAATCAAGAGTAACACAAAAATGCCTTGAGACGCCATTGCCTACCGCCAAGATAAGTATGCAATGAAGCCAAACAAGTGTTGAAGGTGAAACTATCAGATGAACCAGCACCCCTATACAAATAAATGAAAAGAAGCAATCAAAACAAAGACAATAATCCATCTCCGTATCACAAAAAAGAAACCCCAATCTGCCATCCAAATTAACCATTAAATTTATATTTCCTAGATTTTTATCAGTAACACAAGTCGTGATTATTAACTAGCTGACAAAAACACAATTATTTATTTTAATTACAATGATTTCCATATTTAACTGTCCAGAAACCCTAATCCCGAAATTATAGAACGCGAAATGATTTACACATACGACGTTTCGGTTCTACTATTAAAATCCATTATTGTTACGTATTAGACAAAATTAATAAGCGAAATAGAAGTAACAAGAGCAAAGCGAAGGTTATGGCAATGATTACGTGGCATCACGAGCATCGACCGAGTCGTCGTCGTCGTCTTCATCGACTTCTTCGACTTGTAATTCTTCGAATTCAAGCTCTCGAATCTGCTCGATCTGGTACCTCTCTGCCTCTAAAATTCTATCTTCCTCCATGTCCATCTCTCTCTCTCTATCTCTCTCTCTCTTTTTGCTATTCTTTTCTGTTGGATTTGATTTTAACTTTCTTTTATTTATTTATTTTGGGCGTTTATTATGTACCCGCCATTACAAATTGCAATCGGCAAGTTTCCAGAGAAATGAATAGTGCAGTAGTGCTCTCTCTCCTCTCTGTCCTCCTGTCTTTCTAGGCACGCGCAGTTTTGCCTTGTCATTAATTGGTCTGGACTCTTAACTGTGCTTAAAGTCTGGGCCGGCAGCACCATTTTGGGCCCATATAGTCATTCTTGCACCTCCCAGTTATCACTCAGCTTCCTGATAAAAATAATAATCGACCTGTTATTATTTAAAAAAAAAAAACACTAAAGTAAGTGAATTTTTTACTATTCATTTATTATAGCTACTCACTCGTTAATACTATTCATTGAAACCGATTTTTGTGTTATTTTTGCTTCTTTCTCAAGCAATGTATACAAATTATATAATTATTATATTTTGATCTTTGATATTTTTAAATTTTTATTTCGATCCAAGATTTTTTTAGGAGTTGGTCAAGACTAAGAGTCGGAGAATCATGCCTAAGTGGGGCTAACCTCACATGCAGGAATGATAATGGGTCAGGTACTCAACCCATTAACCTAGTTTCATATCATACTCACTAAAAATACTATATCCATTACCCTATTCATTATCTATTAAAAATCATTTGTCCATTTCTTTACCCAACTCATACCGATTATATTATACCATGTCCATACCCATTTACTAGTTAATTTTTTCTTTAAATTGAAGACTTTTTTTTCAATTTTTGTACTGATTTGTTTTTTTTTTTTTTTTACAAACTCTTTTTGTCTAGACTCTTTTTATATATTAAGATTTTTATTAGATTACAAAATAATAATTATTATTTTTATTATCATATATAAATATGTACTAAGTTGAATAATTAGTTGGTCTGGACTTTAACTATGTTTAAAGTCTAAGCCGACAAGCACCATTTTGGGCCCATATAGTCATTTTGTAACTCTCGGTTATCACTCGACTTCCTAATAAAAATAATAATTGACCTATTATTATTTAAAAAAAAACACTAAAGTAACTGAATTTTTTACTATTCATTTATTATAGCTACTCACTCATTAACACTATTCATTAAAATCGATTTTTGTGTAATTTTTGCTTCTTTCTCGGGCAATTATATACAAATTATACAATTGTTACATTTTGATACTTGATATTTATAATTTTTTATTTCGATCCAAGATTTTTTTTAGAAGTTGGTCAAGACTAAGAGTTGGAGACTCGAGGCTTAAGTGGGGCTAACTTCACGTGCAAGAATGACAATGGGCCGTGTCCTCGGCCCATTAAGCCAATTCCATATCCCGTCCACTAAAAAATACTATATTTATTATCCTATTCGTTACACACTAAAAATCATTTGTTCATTTCTTTACCTAGGTCATACCCATTATATCATATCGTGTCCATACTCATTTACCAGCTTAATTTTTTTCTTTAAATTGAAGAATTTTTTTTCAAATTTTTTTATTGAATTGTTTTTTTGTTACAAACTCTTTTTGTCTAGACTCTTTTTATATATTAAGATGTTTATTAGATTACAAAATAACAATTATTATTTTTATTATCATAAATAAATATGTACTAAGTTGATTAATTATTATATTTTTTATTTCCTACAAACCGGTTTAAAATGAAGGATAAGGAAAGGCAATTGGTTATATGTATGGGTTTGACTCACATTTTATGTGCAGAAGAAAGATGAAGAGGCAAGAAGACAAATACATTGACTTGTTGATGTTGGTGTTTGATATCCATTATAAAACAAACTAAAGTAAAATATAGTTTTACAATTCATTTTTACTATTTGAAATACTATTCACACACTCACAAGTCATATTCCTTTCACTATTCATGTTAATTTTTTAACACTTTATTCCTCAATTTTTCTATACCTTTTTTTTTACAATTTCAAACTTTAATTGTATTGTGATTTGGTCCATTTTTTTTTAGTGTTTCTTTTAATTATTTTTATTATTTAGAATTTACTACTTTAATTTGTCATTTTTTAATATAATTATATGTTATTAATATTATATCATATTATAGTAATATTATTTTTCTATACTAAGCATTTACTATTTATTTATTTATTTTTGAATTAAATAATTAAAATAATGTTTTGGCTTAACCACTCGATGATTCAAATTAATATAGTTTTTTATTTTAATATTATTCATTCTTTTAAAAATAAATATATAAAAATTAAATTTATATTTTTTCAAAAATCGATATTCTCATCAACACTAAATAAAAAAAAATTATTTGTTCAATTCTATGTAAGCTTTTGATAATTGTTATTTATGTTTTTTTGACGCAATCTTATGAAATACTCAATATATTTTACAAAAACAATATTTAATTTTCTTTTTAGTTAATAATCTATGGATTAACAAGGATAAATCATTTTTCTAAAGGAAAAATTATCAAAAACACAAATAAGAAATAGTTAAATACAAAATTTTTTATTAAAAAATTATAATTAATAATATTATTTTTCTACACTAAGCATTTACTATTTATTTATTTATTTTTGAATTAAATAATTAAAATAATGTTTTGGTTTAACCACTCAATGATTCAAATTAATATAGTTTTTATTTTCATATTATTCATTCTTTGATAAATAAATAAATATAAATTAAATTCATATTTTTTCAAAAACCTATATTCTCATCAACAATAAAAAATATATATTTTTTGAATTCTACGTGAGCTTTTAATAATTGTTATTTATGTTTTTCGACGCAATCTTATGAAATACTAAAGTTTTTTTAAAAAAATTATTTAATTTTCTTTTTAGTTAATAATTCATGGATTAATAAGGATAAATCCTTTCTTTAAAAGAAAAAATTTATGAAAAACACAAATAAGAAATAGTTAAATACAAAATTTTTTTAATTAAAAAATTATAAATAATTTTTTCACCTCTAATTTTATATATTTTTATAGATTCACACTATAAAACAGATTATAAAGTCGAAATGATTTCTCTAAACAATTTTATAGATTTTACGTTGCGGGTAAAAAAACTAGTTCGATCTATTCCACAATCTATACGGGGTGCATCGATGTTATTAGTAACACATAGTTAACAAACTTAAGATTAATATACCCATACTTTAAAATTCTATAAAATAGAATTTTACAAAAAGTAACTAGTAAGTTGCTCGCATTGCGCTGCAGTTTACGTAGAATAAAATCATTTTAAAATTATAAAATTTTTTATTTAATTAATTTTTTCTAATTTTTTTATAAATTTTTTGCTTAAAAAAAACATAAATCATTCTTCTTTATGAATTGATTTTAAAATAAAACATTATAATAATTTTAATTAAAATATTAATCAAGAATTAAAAAAAACTTTTAAAATATAATTTTTATAATATTGTACTCTAAAAAATATATTTATAATCAATGGACAAACTTTTATAAAAATTAACAAATGAAAAAAAATGTTATTTAATGCCGATGAGAAGATTAATTTTTGAAATTATACATATAGCACTATAGGTAGATAAAACAAAATCATTTCGAAATTTTATAATTTTTTATTAATTTTTTATTTCAATATAACTATTTTTGTGTGTTTTCCATAAAATTTCTACTTAAAAACATGATTTATTCTTCTTTATTCAGAGATTCTTAAATAAAAACTTCTAATAATTTAAACCTAAAATATTAATTAAGAATTCATAAAAACAATACTTTAAAATTATGTATTTTTTAATTATAATTTATCCAAAAAAATAAGATTACAATTAATGTATAGATTTGCATAAAAATTAACCAATGAAAAAATAAAATTTTGTTCTTATTTAATGTTAGCGAGAAGATTTTTTTCTCAAATATATGCATTTGATCTATATATATTTACTTCCAAAATAATCAATAAAATTAGCATAAAAACTATATTTAAATAATTGGTTGGTTCCTTTAAAAAATCATTTTAATTATTTTATTTCAAATAAATTGGTTCTATAATGTTAAAAACAAATATTCATAGTAAATAATTTGTATTATGTTAGAAGATGTATAGTTAATTTTTAATATAAAAATAAGAATAAAATTAACTTGATGTGAATTTTTATAATAAATTGAAAAGATCAATTTTAAACAATAATAATATTATATATTTATTCTAAAATCTAAAAACATATTGTATATATTAAATAATTTTTAATTTATGTGAAAAAAATAATGATTGATTTTTGAAAATTTTAACACCTAGTTAAATTAAAAAAAAAAGAACATAAATTAATGTAAAAAATCAAAGGAAAAAATAGGAAAAAAAAGTGTAGTGCATCAGCTAAGGTGTAAAATTTTTATTTTAAAATTCTAAGGACTAAAATAAAATAATTTAAAAATTCCAAAAAAAAAATACTAGGTGAATAGTGACTTATGAGGAGATGAAGAGTGAAACTCATTATTCAACCTCCCACCTCTTTTAGATATATAGTAATGTTCTTGAAACTTCTCACATGCCTATAAAATCTCACAAATCAAAAGTATGATGTGTTTTGAATATTATTATTTATATTTATTATATTTAAAAAAATTGTATAGTTTAATATTCATTTATTGTTCCTTATGTCTCACTTCACATGCATTCTCTAAGATTATTATTTTCAAAGTTTTTTGTGACTAACTAAGTGGTGGCTAGTGGTTGGTGATGGGATTGAGTTTAACAAAGTGTGAGGGATGAAATAGCAAAATGGATTCAACAGATAGAGAAAAAACGGTAGAGGTGAGATGTTTGATTCTAAAAGTGAAAAGTAACTTAGTTTAGGTTTTTGGACTTTTGGATATATATATATATATATATATATATATATATTATTCAATTTTTGTTCGAAAAAAATCAAGACCGACAACTAACGACTATTAAAAATGGTTTTTGAGAAATTTTAACAACCAAAAACAAA